AGATACTGGTTGGTTTCATTCTGGTGAAAAGTTAGTTAGAGGAGGATTTGGGGCTTATTATGGATTTAGTTATACCAAAAAAGTCTTTCCTATATTTGAAAATTACCTTCACAGGCAGTAGGAACCTTAGTAGGAAGAGAGACTGGTGCTGTCATCTGCTTGGCAGAATTTTTTGCTTTTGGTTGTAAGAGGGTATTGATAAAAGCTTGGGCTCTGCAATCAGATGGACCCGTATTCTTGGGTAAGTTACTCAAGATCTCTGAGTGTTATTTTCCTCACCTGTGAAATGGAGATAATGCTAGTCCAGTGACCGGCACTCGAAAGATTGTCGTGATGATTAAATAAGCTCTGATCGACGCATGCCAAGTCTTTGGCTGAATTTCCAGTACACGGTAAACATCTAATAAATACAGGCCATTGTCATATTAAGGTTTTATTTTTACCTTAAGGATTGTTAAAAAAAATTAAGTGGAGAATTATTACTTCTTGAGCCAGATTTGGGTGAAATCATTCCGATGCCTGATATCAACCTGTCCAGGCGGCACAGAGTCAAGCCGAGTGCTGAGGCTGGAGAACGGCCTTCCTCAGAGGTTAGGATTCTTGAATTCTAGTTGCATCTCACCCTTCACCAGCCGGTGCCGGCTCAGCCAAGTGACTCAATACCTCCCGAGCAGCAGTGTCCTCATCCACAGGTGGGATGGCAGTACTGGCCCTGCTTCCTGCTTCCTGGCAGAGCTGGTATGAGGAGCTGGTGCTCTCATGAGTTTGAAAGCGCTTTGGAACTTTTAAGGTAACTGCACCCATGTGAGAATTTGGTGTTGCTCTCAGGTTTCATTTCGTTGCAGCTGTGACTTAATTCCAACAATAATTGGTTTTATCCATTTGCACATATTTTACTATTTTATTTTATCTCTAAAGATTTATTTATTTTTGAGAGAGGATGAGCTGGGGAAGGGCAGAGAGTGAGGGAAGGACAGAAGATGCGAAGCAGGCTCTGTGCCAACAGCAGCAAGCCCAATGTCGGGCTCGAACTTAAACTCATGAAACATGAAACATGACCTGAGCCGAAGTTGGACGCTTAACTGACTGAGCCACGTGGGTGGCCACACATATTTGAATATTATCCACATTTCCCAACTAACATGCAATAAATACCCTCATTGAATATCAGCCCTTTGAGGTTTCAAGCCTGTTCTTTCAGTCCTGTAGCAGCTCGGGGATTTTACTGTGCCAAGATGCAGGGTGTTTTTGTTTGTTTCCCCCTCCTGTAAGGGAAAGGGGCTGTACTAATCCTGGGAAGCTCATAGGTATGAGGCAGCATTTATATTTGATGTTGATGTTGGAACTGCAATAAAATTTTACCTAATAATAATGATTAAGTCCAGATCAAAATTTAAGGAGCTTTTTTTTTAAAAAAATTTTTTTTTTCCAACGTTTATTTATTTTTGCGACAGAGAGAGACAGAGCATGAACGGGGGAGGGGCAGAGAGAGAGGGAGACACAGAATCGGAAACAGGCTCCAGGCTCCGAGCCATCAGCCCAGAGCCCGACGCGGGGCTCGAACTCACGGACCGCGAGATCGTGACCTGGCTGAAGTCGGACGCTTAACCGACTGCGCCACCCAGGCGCCCCAGAATTTAAGGAGCTTTAAATGCTAAGTAAATGTCTATGCCCCTTTCCAACTTATCTTCAGTCCCTGAATTACACTGAGAATATATGGAATGGGTGCTATCTCTCGATGGTTGCTGTGGTTTTACGTTAGAGCAATGCACATGGCAAAAGAGAGTGTGGGGGCCTAGCATTCATGTAGTGGTAAGGAGCCCTGTGGGTCCACGAGGGTCTGCCTCCTCCACGTGGCTGGACTGGGCAGGTGCGCTGCCTTGCGGGCGGGTTCCTCCTCGTCGGGTCTAAGCCCTTCCCCCTGAGCTGCTCCCCCTGAGTGTCTGGCCACTAATCTCATCTCAGACACCACTCACTCTCATCCACTTCATGGAGAAAATAAAGGATTTTATACAGAGGCTTTCTGGGTTTTAGCAAAAGTTCTAATATCTAGGTAGATGTATATATGTCTGGAAACAGAGATAAGCAGCTGTAGAAAGGGGAAAATGAAAGCGCTAGTGAAGAGGAAAGCATGGTTTTGTTGAGGACACAGAAGTGGGTTTTAACCAGGCATATTTTGTGCAATATGAATGGCTAACTTTCAATCCATGTTCTCATAATTATTTTCAAATTAAAAAGCATAGCGACTGCATTATAAGAGGCATGAGTCTAGAGGAGAAAAGATGTAATGGTTGACTTGTTCTTTTATGCGTCTCACTAAAGACCATATTTTAGCCATTCTCAGTTTCTTGAAGCATTTCCCAATTACAGGATCACCACCACCGCCCGACCTTTTGAGCAGGGGTTGAGGACTAAAAAAATGAGAGGATTTAAGTCTGAAAATGAGAATGTGTGTATCTCCTAGAGTCGTGGAATTTGGGAAATAGCAAAGACTTGGGGAAGCTTACCAGTGTAAAAACTTGAGTCGAAGAGGTTTACAACATCTGGGGTCCCAAATAACTTGGGGGTGAAGAGGAGGGAAGGGAAAGCGGTTGGTCTGCTACTGCTTTAGCCATCGTCACCCTCAATTGAGGGTTGAGGGTTGGGGGTGGAGTGGTGGGCAGTGACGGAAGGCCTGGGAGCAGGCAAGTACATGGGCTTAGAAGTTCTAATGGCCTAGAGTCAAGTGCTGCTTTTCTAGCTGTTAGCTCTGTGGCCCTGAGGGAGTTAAGTAACCTGTCTGAGCCTCACTCTCTGCATTTGTAAAATGGCCTTCACAGGCTTATTGGGGTGATTAAATGAGAAAATAAAGATTTTAAACACTCTAATGCAAATAGCATCATTGTTTTCTTCAGAATCATCAAAGATTCTGATTCAGTGGGCCCAGAAAAACTGTTTTTGGAAGTCACCTCCCATAGTTCTAATGTTCCTCAGACCATACTTCGAGAAGTGCTCTTCTTAAAGGATGAGTAGGAGTTTTGACATCAAGGGGAGGGCAGGGTGTCATTTACATGCACTCACAACTCCAGGGGGTGACCTAACATCATAGCACATGTCCATGGAGCACCCAGAGTTGGGGTACATGACTTGGAAGGCCAGAGGCAGTGACCCTGTGTGGGGGGATAATGATAGAGTGAGGTGTGTGTGTGTGTGTGTGTGTGTGTGTGTGTGTATGTGTGTATGTGTGTGTGTGTGTGTTAGCCAGGGTGTGCTTGGGACACTGAAGATCTTTCACTCTGGGGGACCACTTAGGGTGGGAGACCAGGGAGCAGGGTGCAGGTCCTTGTGTGCTCTGCTAAGGAACTTAGGCTTTTAGCCACAAAACAGTGCAAAGCACAGAAGGGTGTAAACAAGGACATGATTAGACCTCACTGACGGTCACATGATGGGTAAGCCAAGAGAGTGAGACTGTAGTTATATATAATATTTATGAGGAAATTACAATCAGCTAACCAGGTGGTGAGAACCAACGAGAGAGAGAGAGAGAGCACCAGTGAGTGAGTACACACATGAACTGAGACAGAGACAGCGTGTGTTGAGGAGGGGGCAGATTGGAGAGATATATAGAGGGAGGCTCAGGAGGACAAGGACCAGCTGCCCGATGAGGAAAAGGGGGCAGGAGCTGGTGCTGACTGTTTCCAGGTGGGTGATCCAGGGATGGAATTCTCTGCAAAGGCAGATCAGGAGGAGCAGGTTTTCATGAAGAGGGAAAGCAACGATTAGTTAAGTGCTGACCGTATTTAATTTAAAGTGCTAAAGTGACCACCAGTCCCAGGCACCTAAAACTCCAAGGAGAGGCCTGGGAAGGAGGTGCAGAGTTAGGATCTGAAATGTTGGCATGAAGGTGAGCCCCGAGGCAGTGTGAGGAGTGGGAAGAGGAAGGTGCACAGATGTGCTTCCGGGTTACGTCGATGCTCCAGAGGCTGGAGCAGATGGGGCCAGGGGATGAAGCACACAGAGAAGAGAGGTCACTGCAACAGGGGAGGTGGGAAGTGGTGGCAGACCAGGTAAGAAGGGACGTGGAAGCTGTGGAGAAGCCTGTCACCTTGGTCTAATGAGACAGTGGTCACTAAGGACTGAGGAGGCCCACTGGGTCTTTTGGGCAGGAGTCACTGGTAACGTGGGAGAGCAGCAGCCAGGTGGCTTTGAGTCTAGGAGAAAATAGGGAGGAGAGTGGAGATCATGTGTGCTCTTGTGAGACTGCTGCATGTAGGGCACAGAGAGTTCAGCAGTGGTGAGGACAAAGGAGAGACCTACTTACGGGGGAGCTATGTGCACCCTCAGTACTCAGAGTGCCATATCTGAGGGAGGAGTCCAGAGAAGCAGAGCGAGACGACCTGGGAGAAGGAGGGTGACTCACCGAACTGGATGGAGGGTCTAGAGGCCAGTGCAGGATTGGAGTTAGGATTGTGTTCCTGGAGAGGTGACAGAGGAAGGCCAGATGGCTGGGCGTGGATGGGCAATACTGTGAATCTTAAAGGTGCTGTGGTGTCTCCCCAGGGTGTGACAGGACAAGAAGTCCATCAGGTGCACACCTGATAAGCTCCATTGAGTGTTTGGCATGGAGTCAGGCCATAGGTGGAGAGTGAGAGGGCCAGGAAATCTATTGGGGAAGGAGAGAGTTCTTTAATTTGCAACATTTCTGGAGAAGCATAGTATAATGATCATTTTGAAGATTTTCATAATTATTTTATGTAAAATTAGTATCCTGTTTTTAAGTTTATTCATTTATTTTGAGAAAGAGAGGGCTCAAGTGCACGAGCAGGGGAGGGGCAGGAAAGAGGGAGAGAGAGAATCCCAAACAAGCTGCATGCTCAGTACAGAGCCTGATGTGGGGCTCAACCTCACGAACCATGAGATCATGACTTGAGCTGAAATCAAGAGTCAGGTGCTTAACAAACTGAGCCACCCAGGCGCTTCTAGTATCTGTTTTTAAAAGTCTTTTTCTTTTCTTGCTCTAGTGATGATCATCACAATGCCTCTTCAGAAGAGAAAGGTATGGTATTCTAAGTCATTGTTGAGTTATTAAAAAACTTAATCTATACTGTATAAAACATTTGAAGTTTTAGAAAATGATTATTTATTGACTGCAGCCACTTTGTTCCATTCAGGCGTTTACTGGCTGTTGGCCTGCAAGCCAGCCTCCTTCCATGGGGGTCAAGAAGAAACCGAAGAAGGAGCCAAACCACTCAAGATTGGTAGGTGGCAGTTTTAATAAGCAAGAGAACTGACTTATGAGGCTTGTCTCCGTCTGTTTGGTACTTTGAAGCTGGGCATATGTGCAGTCATGCATTGAGCGTCTGTGTCAGGATGGGTATTGGCGAATCAAGGTGATAAGACACAGCCGTGGTCCTCCAGGGACCTTGGAGGACCTCCAGACCTCGGTTTGCCAGTCGGATAAATGTGATAGGGTAGATCACAGAGGAGGCATGGCTAACTTGGTGGGGTGAGGGAGACTTTCAGAAGAAGTGATTTGGGGCTAGATCTTAATGGATCCCTGGGAACTCTGGACCTGGGGCCTGGGAGAGAGACTTCCATGCAACGGGGAGGTATCTGTAAAGGCTTGGAGAAGGAGTGGCAATCATCCTATTTGGGGAACATTCAAATTTGGGGAGCAGGGGAGTAATTAAAATAGATTGATTCTAGCCCAGTGGTTCTCAACCCTGGCTACACATTGCAGTCATCTGGGGACTTTAAAGATCAATACTGCTGTTCAGGCCCCACCTCAGACCAGCTAAATCAGAGGGTCTAGGGAGTGTCTGAGTCCTGGGCTTGGATGTGTTGGGAAAGCTCTCCAGGTGATTCCATGGTGCAGCCAAGGTTGAAAATCACTGTTTTATGCTTCCAGCCCTGGAGGACCAAGGCCATGTCCCATCACTTGATTTCCTAGCACCTGTTCCTACACAGTCAGTGCCTCACCCTCCACTCAGGCATCCTCTCATGCAGGAACCTGCCTCCTACTCCCCCTCTACACCCACATCCAGTTAGTCACCAGCTCCTGGGGGTTGATCTGCTGAAGTAATAATGAGCATGTTTGTAAGTCTTAACAACATGGTTGAGAGTGCAGGTTCCCACCAGACTGCCTGAGTTGAAATCTTAACTCCAGACTTCTTGGCCTGGAGTTGGGGGGGGTGGGTGGGTGAAGGGGAAGATGGTATGGAGGTGGTGGTCTTGCTTAAGTAAATTAACTGGCCTCAGCTTACATCACTGGACAGTTGTGAAGATTAATGTGTAAATATACGTAAAGCATTTTATATAAGTATATGTAAAGTATATATACACAAAATGAGTAAATACATGTAAATACGTGAATATATATATCCATGTGCCTGGCACATGGACCACTCAAAGCCGCTCTTAGCTGCTATCATTATTGTTCTCATCATTATTCTCAAATCTTTTCTTTCCTCCATGTAACTGCTGCCAATCTTTTGTTCTGGATGGAGGGAGGGAGGATTTGAGAGTGATGCTAATAACTTTCCGTGTATGTGCTTGCTGAATCCTGATCCTGCATGGGGGCTGGGGCAGTGTGTGCAAACTGGGAGGAGGAGAGAATGTGGATTGGTAGTGGGGGCTGAACCTGGCCAACAGATTAGGCCTCGGGTGCTTCTGGGGTCTGCTGGGAGAGTCAGGGTGCCCCTGGAGGTGGAGGTTGGAATCCAATTGGGAAGCTGGTGCAATGCCCTCTGAGGGCTCTTAAGGTGGAAAGGAGGCTGGGAATGGGGAGTGGAGGCTGGGGCGTTAGCAATTGGGGGGTGGCAGAGAGGCCATGCAGGGTGGGCGGAGGGCACGCAGAGAGGTAGGAGAGCCAGGACCGACCTCACGGGAGCACCATGCGAGAGGGGGAGGTAGGTGTCTACCTGTGGGAGTCATTTTCTGGGGGTTCATGGTCCTTTAGGGACATCACGGAGAGGATTCCTAACTAGTGGTGGGAACAGAAGCCTGATTGCAGTGGGCTGAGACACTGAGTTGGGGGTGAGGAAGTGAAAGGAGACCAAGGACACAAGGTCCCCATTCTTGGGGACCACTCTTTCCAGAAGTAGTTGCATAGTGTGGACTGAGTTTGTCCTGTGCTTCAGTCAGTGGCATTTACTCTCCAGGATTCTGCACTGTTGTGTCATTGAACTTGTGCATGTGAGCTGTCCAGAGGTGCAAGTACAGGAGGAAGACAGGAGCAGTAAGGGCAAGTCAAGGCTGGGTAGGACTTGAGTGACAACCAAATAAAATGATGACTGCAGGCAAAGTGTGATTTGAGCTCCCACTTAAACAATCAAAGTATATTTTATCCATTTCCAAAGGAAAATCAGCCCCCTTTTATATGAACTGTAGTTTTGGATTCAGTAAGAATTTATTAAATTAAGAAGAAATTAGTTGAGTTTGAATCTGTTTTATAATATATATAATTACGGGGCACCAGGGTGGCTCAGTCAGTTGAGTGTACAACTCTTGATTTCAGCTCTGGTCATGATCCCTGGGTCATGGGATCAAGCCCCTTGTTGGGCTCCATGCTGAGCATGGAGCCTGCCTGAGGTTCGATCTCTCTCTCTCTCTCTCTCAAATTAAAAAAAATAATATGTAGAAATTATTTTACAGAACCAGACTTTAAAAAAATAGTTCCTATTTTTTGTTCACTGTGTACTTCCCCCGGCATATGCCTCTATTCAGGAGAGGACAGCAGTTCTGAGGACAGCAGTTCTGAGGACAGCTCTGAAAGTGAATCTGGTGAGTCACATATGTCTTTTTTAAGTTATAGAATTCTAGTTAAACATATGAACCTTTATTTGTATTTTAAACTAATGCATACATCCCTTATACGGTGTGAGGACACATTACCAGTGTGGTTTTGTGAAGTCCTGAAAAAAAATACTTACATGGTAAATACTTTCTAGCTGGCAAGCAAAGCGGCCGAACAGGATGAGCTGAAGAAGAAAGACAGGAAGTGGTTGCTATTGGCGAAAGGCAAACATTTTACCTATTCTCCCATTAGCCCGGGTTTCCTCTTGGTTGTCAAGAGAATTTGATTTAGACTTTTTTTTTTTTTTTGTAGATAATGAGGAACCAGAACCAGAAAAAACAAGTAAGTACATCCTTCCTCTGAATTTTATTTTTTGTTGTTGAAAGGAAGAAAGGGAAGGATCGCCTTTGTTACCAACTGCTTGTTCTTTATCTTTTAATATGCAAAATTAAGGTAAACATTGGGAAATTTCTGTAAGCGTTTATGCAAATTTGAGCTCCCTGCACTAGCAGTACGTGGCATATGTTCTTGATCTGCGTTGACCACAATCTATAGTGCGGCCACAAGCGGGCCTGGCTTCCTTCTGTGGTGGTCGCTGCTCACAGATTACAGCAGAGTGAACTCTTTGCTGCTGCAAATGTACCATTTGTGGTTTAGAGTCTCCTGGCATGCCATTCTAGTTATTTGTGAGCAACTTGAGTATGAAACCACTTTAGGGGCATGGATTCTAAATATAAAATACGGTTTTGGTCAAGAGTTTTGTAAGTGACTAAGCTTTTATTTTAAGTGATTGTATTTTACTGTAGGATTTTTTTCCCAGTTCTTAGACTGGGATCTGCCCATGAACACTGTAGCAAGGCAGTCAGAGGGCTCCTTTGTAATACTATTAAATAAATGAAATCACTTCACTCGGAAGTCCTGTGTAGAACCTGATTCTCTCTGCAGCTTCCCATTGGGCAACCTGTGATAGTAACTGTAAGTTTCTTGCAATCGTGTTATGCTTGATAAGAACCTGTAATAATCTGTGTATCACCCTTGCAGAGATGTCATATGCTGATACCTATAAAGAAAAAATGTGTGCCTCAGGTCTCTATACATTATGGATGATTTTCATCCTTTAAAAATGCAGTCAAAAGTCTAGCCTCTATAGAATGGTTTAAGATAGAAATGAAGTTAGAGAGCTGTGCGTTGGAATCAGGTCTCTGATGTTATCCCTGGTAGTAACTGGGTAAAGGGCCATAGGGATACGGAGTCTGGAGGCAGGACGCTTAGGCTGCAGAAGCTAGGCCTGGCCCAGGGCCTCACCAGGGCAGGCAACCTAGGAGGAAGGCATTTGGAGTCAGTGAGGCTCAAGATAGGCTCAAAATTGGGTGGGAGGGTGCCGTCGTTCTCAGCAGGGTGTGTGTGGAGCAAGACACAAGCCCTGGCCCTTGGCTGGATTAGACTTCTTGGTATTCTTTGGCAGTGAAAGTGGCCTTGCATCTTCTGTGGGCTGGCTGAGCATGCTTGTCCTAGGAGTGAGCCCCAGGTCATGTAAGGGGTCCTGCCTCCCCGCAAAAATATTCTCTTTGTTAAAAGAGAGTTTTTATCCTTCCCATTAGAGGAGAGATCAGAGAGGTACCCACCCATTCACCTCCATTCTCAGGTCAGGCAGAAAGACTAGGTAGGCCACCTTGGAGTATTTGCTCCTCTGTGGGCTAGCAGGCAGTGCAGGCCCACTCACCCTCCTCATGAGTGGATATGCTTTCTACTCATGGGCATGAACTCTGGGGCCACCCTCGTTATATGGATTGAAGGGAAGCTGCGATTTACAAGTTGGGGAGAATTACATCACTTTTCTCTGCTTTGGCTGGGAAGACGTGGTCAGAGACTCTGTATTTGCAGGCTGGTTAGGATTCTCGAATCTCTTTCCCTTTCTCTGCTCCCAAGGCAGAAAAACATGGGGTGTGGATGAGACACAATGTAGATATACAGCCCATAAATAACTTATAATTTTATGATCCTTCATAGGACAGTAGCTGAGGAAATATGATTGGAGGATTGTGTGATGTAGGGTTTGGGTATTTCACATCTGTAGTATTCTGAGTCCAGGACTCTGAATACTTATAGTCTCTGTTTGCCACTTTATCTTAATGCTGTTTTTTTTAAATTTTTTTGTGTATTTTTATTTATTTTTGAGAGAGAGAGCGCGCAAACGGGTAAGGGCAGAGAGAAAGGGAGAGAGAGAATCTCAAGCAGGCTCTGCACTGTCAGCACAAAGCCTAATGTGGGGCTTGAACTCACAAACTGTGAGATCATGACCTGAGCTAAAGTCGGACACTCAGCCGACTGAGCTACCCAGGGGCCCCTTAATGCTTTCTTTTAAAGCTGATTCTGTCTTATAAACCCTGGTCCCTGGATACTGCCCCAGTAGGCCAGGAATCAGGCAACTTGTGTGTCTTGGGCTGGAGTGCTCTTCTGGGGAGTGTCTGTACCTTCTGGGCATTGGTGATGGCATAGGACCTTGCATATGTGTTGAGGAGTGCTTTACCCATGGGGTGACCCTCCCAAAGGTTGTTCAGACCTTTAAAATATAAGTGACAATGTTGTTGTCTAGAATTCTTGAATTTTTTAATGAGTCCCGCTTATCACCAGAGCAAAATACTAGTTAATAATAGTTATCTAACACTTACGGAGCACTTAGGGAATGGTAATTTGTGTTCCTAAGTTTTGGGGGTGATATTATTCTAATCCCCATTTGACAGATGTGGAAGGCAAAGCATGGGGAGACTTAGTAATATAACCGCAGAGTCCAAGCTCATGCAACTAGTGGCCAGTGTAAATAATAGAAGAACTTATTGCTCTTTCTTTCTTTCTTTCT